AAAGAAGTAATTCGCCACCATTAGCAGTGATTATTATATCACCTCCTTACTAAAAAAAAATTGTTAAAGGGAAAGTTAAGAATTTACCTTAACCTTTTAGTAGAAATTATAATCTATTCCTATCTGCTTAAAGAAACTTATAAGATATTGGGGGGGAATGAGAATTAGAAAATTACCATTTTGCAACAACCAAAGAAATTAACTGGAGAGGATCATCATCATTAGATGAAAGGTTGCTGAAGAAATATGATAATATGGTGCAAAAGTGTCACTACTCTACAGATTACTCGCTAATTACTAAGAAAAAAGTCTTTACAATGGAGACACATGGTGTTTGTCATCTTTAAAAATGATCAAACAAACTCAGCATCATTACTCTAGTGGGACAACATTACATTTCTCTTATTGTGATGCAATATGAAGTACAGAACTACACCTATGAAGTAATTCTTATCATGTGGCTTCTATAGATGTCCAAAAATATATATATACTCACTTTGACTAATTATAAAGGCAGAGTACATTTCATTTTCAAAACTGAACATGATGGTATGTTAAAGTATGTATATATTTTTTGGGGATACCTGTATATAAACTGTTCTAGATTTTAAAAGAGACTAAAGACATGTTTGCAAGGAAAAAAAAAATACAAGTAGCTAAAAAGTTCATCTTCAAAACAACTGAAAAAAATCTGAATATGAACTGAATATTAGATGGTATTAGGAAATTACCATTAATTGCCTAAACTGTGGCAATTGGCAGTGTATTGTAAGAACAATTGAGTAAAACAATGTTTTTTAAGAAGCATCTCACGCCCTAACGGTTTGGCTCAGTGGATAGAGTGTTGGACTATGGACTCAAGGGTCCCAGGTTCGATTTCGGTCAGGGCCATGTACCTTGGTTGGGGACACATCCCCAGTGGGGAGTGTGCAAGGAGGCAGCTGATTGATGTTTCTAACTCTTTATCCCTCTCCCTTCCTCTCTGTAAAAATCAATAAAATATTTTTTTTTTTTAAAGAAGCATCTCACATCTTTAAAGTATTATGGTGTCATGATGTCTGGAATATAACTATATAAATATATATGCACATATATAAAGCAAATACAGGAAAATGTGAACAAGTGTTGAACCTAGGGAATAACTGTATTAGCTTTCAATTTTTCTGTATGTTTAAATTTTTCACTTAAACAGTAGTAAAAAGGCAGTGGATAGGGACTCAAAATGCACTTCTTCCAGGAAGACACCCCAAAGAAACTCTTCGTAAATCCTTAATCCCTTATTTACAAAGTCCTCTCAGCAAAAACACAGTGAATTAATGTTCCCTTATTATTTCATGTTCAGTAGATTTAGTTTTCCAACAAGACTGTAAGCTCCTTCAGGAACAGATATTTTAATTATTTTCTATTTCTTCACAGCTTATAGTGAAGTATTCTGCAATCAGCAGTCTTTTAAAAAGTACTAGTGCCAATATTCTGCATAGGAGCTCAGTAAAGCACCTTAAGTGAGTTAGCATTTTCAATTCCTCAACAGAATGGCAATTCACTTGTATAAACTGTTTTTGAATCACAGCTATCAAAAGATTATAAAACCTCACTTACGGGCTTATAGAACTTCACATAGAAAAACTGGCATCTAAAAGTTAAAGAAACTAGAATACAGGTTTTACTTGTCTTCCTAATACTGTCATGGTTTGCTGTGTTATCCAGGCATATGACTTTATTCCCATGACATTATTCTTCAGTTGAATAATATACTACCACCACCACCCCATCTGCAAAGCAAAGACAGTATTTGTCCTCAACTCCTGGATGTTGCTTAACAAGCTATATAATTAACTTTAAAATCTTAAATAAAAGACTGCACATAGATTTTTACAATTTTAAATCCTCACCTGAGCACATGCTTGTTGATGAGAAAAAGAGGGGGTGGGGGAATGAGAAAAAAATATGGGGTTAAGCTGAAACCAGTTTGGCTCAGCAGTAGAGCGTTGGTCTGTGGACTGAAGGGTCTCGGGTTCAATTCTGGTCAGGGGCATGTACATTGGTTGCGGGCACATCCCCGGTGGGGGGTGTGCAAGAGGCAGCTGATGGATGATTCTCTCTCATCGATGTTTCTAGCTCTCTATCTCCCTCCCTTCCTCTCTGTAAAAAAATCAATAAAATATATTTAAAAAAAAAAAAGAAAAGAAAGAAATATGGGGTTAGATCCACAACCTAGGTATGTGCCCTGACAGGGAATCAAACCCACAACCTTTCCAAGTACAGGACGACACTCCAACCAACTGAGCCAAATGGCCAAGGAAAGTTAAAAAATTTTGACAATACAGTGTTGGTGAGGAAAGAGGCAGATTCATACTCTGCTAGCAAGAATATAAATTCATACAACCTTTATGGAAAGCACTTCCACTATGAATTTACCCGACATCATGTACATAAAAACTACAAGTAAGGAATTAATTGCGGCTCTGGAAATAACCTAAGTATCCAATAAAAACAGCTGGATGAATTATGGTATATCTATACAATGGAAAACCTACCAGCTTTCAAAAAGAGGTACATAATAAGATATATATTAAATGAGAAAAGCAAAGTACAGAAAAATGGGTATAATTTCTTACCATTTGCACAAAACAACAATTAACCAAAGCACCAAAGAATATGTAGTTGTATGTGCTTGTAAAAGCACTATCTCTGAAAGGGTAAATAAGATACAGGTTACAACAATTTCCTTTGAGGAGGGTAACTAGATGGATGAAAGGAGGATAGTACAAAAAAGATTTTTCATTCTCTCTGAGTACCTTATAAATTTTGTTTTATAAGTACGTACATGTGTTACCCATTTTAAAGAGTTATTTTGTTAAACATGGCTCTGCACCAGTAAGAATTATCTAATGATACCCATCTTAATCCTAATACCATATCATGCCTTCGTATCATAACAATTTTAAAAGGGGCTTCACATTGAACCAGATGAAATGTTTCCACATAAAAACAAAGCATTCTAAAGGACAGAAGCCTACAGAGAAAAGAAATGGACACTGGTTACCTCAATAGTTTCACTTCGACATTCAGCCCAGAGCCTGAGCAAAGTCTGGACACAGACAGCATTAACCATCTTCAAGTACCAACTAACCATTATGAAGAGCTCTAAAAGGAGAAGTCACTGAAGTACCAAATGGATACCTAAGTGGGGGTTGTCACAATGATGTAGCACTCCTCATATTTACCTAAGGGGGAAATGGATGAGTTTCCACCTCTTTCCCAGGGCAAGGATAACGTATGCCCCCAAATTCCTATGCTTCCTCTGTGTCATCTCTTGGCTCCACTGCAACCATATGGCAACAGAAAACAGCACAAAAGGCAGCTGAACAATGCAAAAGGCCAGAGTTAAATGAGGAAGTGAAAAAGGAATATATACTTTAAAGCCCAAGAACATAAGGTCCTACATTTAAAAATGGCAGCTGAAAAAGCCTTGAGCAAAGAATACCAAAGAAAGAACACAAAGGAAAAAGAACATAAAATAAGGCTTACTAATATATCCCATTCCCAATTATTCACATAGATGACGTGGTTGGCAAAAGATAACTGGGGGGGGAAAAACACACAAAAAATACGCACCTCCCCAATCCTCATGTGTCCAACAATTGAGTTATTCATTTCAGTGCTTTTCAGCACACCTTCCATTTTTAAGAGTTTAGCATTCCCTCACCCTGTTCTGATGACATAGGTAAGAAACAGCAAAGTATGCAAAAGAGTAGCAACACGGGAGGAAATTAAAGGACCATGGATAATCGGCCAACAGGAAACCCAGGGCCTCGATCACTGAAATATTACTGTACTTTAAAGTTCCTAGTTTTAAATTGCTGTTTGTTACTCGCACTCTCGTTACCCAAGAGTTAAAACCTGCACTGACTAAGATACCATCCACCAGTGGTTTCAGATTGCTTTTGTTTTCATGTGATGTTCGTTCCCAGGGCATCAATAATGTACAGCTAAAACGAAAGTGCTAAGGAAGATCTTCTTTGACACCGAAAGAGGTAAATAGGTCACACAAATAAAAGAGGGCTGGAGATGAGAGGACACTGACATCTGGATTTACAACTACTACTCGAAGCCTTAGATTGTGTGTTCTTGATCTATACCTTAACTAGTTCTGTGCAGATAATTAAGAGTTTTGCTAAAAGGAAACTCCCTCTTGCTTTCTTTTTTATGACCCTTAGACCTCCTCAGAAAGCCCTTCCAAAATCCCCTGCCACAGTAATTGAATGGGTTTGGGCACCTACTTACTCCAACGTGTAGGGGATGTCTGCGCTAAAGGTACAGCATGGGCGTAAAGAAAAGTAATGCTATAACTAGAAGTTGTAGTGACAGTTTCAAAGGAAGGGTCAGCGCGGGGCACGCTGGCTCTGGGAAGCGTCTGTAGCCTGTGAGTCTCTAGGGCAACCCCGGATGCAAACAGTGCTTTGTCCACAAGCCCCTCAAAGAACGTCAACCCTCCCCCTGGGACAGGAGCAACAGGCTCGCCATCCGGCAGCCAGTCTAGCCCACTGCCTGGGAAGGAGGCGGGCGCGTGGTCAAGGGGCTCTTTTATCCCGCAGGTCCCTGCAACCCAGTGGTGCGCATGCGCCCCGAGCGCAGCGAACAAGCACCCCGAGCTCCTCACACTCGCGCATGCGCAGTCACCCATCTCGCCGCAGGCGACAGCTCTCCATTCGGCAAGGGGGATGGGATGGGACTGGGGAGATTATGTGGGGGGGCTGAAGGCAGGGGGCGCGTTTGTGTCTCCTGGATGCTTCGAATTGGGAGAAGGAACGGTTGGTGAGGCTCTGGCATTTACAAGCCACGTAACCCGGGATGTGAGATACGGGACAGAGAAGAGTATTATGTGTGGCGGGAGGGGGGGGTGGGGGCGGGCGGGGAGTTGGGGTCAGTCACCTCTTAAGGGAGGCGCCCCCCACTCCGACAACCCTCTCCCTCGACTCTCCTCCCCCCCAACTCACCTCAGAGCGGCGGCGACAGCTGCTGGTCCCCGTCCCCCTGCGCTCGCCTCATACTGTCCGCAACATCCGGGACCTGCGGGACCGCCGATACACAAATACACACACACACACTCGGAACGCGCACACTCACACACACATACACACACATACACACACACACACACACACAAATCCGGACACACACCGGCCGGGGCGTCGTGGCGTCAGCACGTCAACGCAGCGAGCGCGCACCCGCCGAGCCCCACCCCGCGCGGCCTCTCCATTCTACTCCCTCCCGGGGTTCTCCCGTCCCCCGCCCTCTCCCTCAAGGCTCCGCCCACTCGCCCCTGCGCGCATGCGCCCCGGGGGTCCCGCCGGGCGGAGGTCAGGAGCGAATTAGGAGCCTCGGAAGGAAGAGGCGGGAACTCCGAGCAGGGCCCCCGAGGTGCGAGGACCAACTAGAGGCGCGCTGAGGGGAGGGCGGCGTGGGCAGCGTATCCATAAAGGCGCTTCGCAACAGCAATCTTATGTTTGCAAGTAATTTCTGAACTACCGATGACTTTTACTTGCACTGCCTAATTTTTTTCCTAACCAACTGTCAGGATGTTTTTCAGACTTAAGAGACGCTTGTAAGTAACTTAAACGTTAGCAGTTGGAAACAAAACTAAGAAGGACCACTTTTGGGGCGGGGGGGGGACCCTCAAAGTGGCTTACCTGAAAGGAAGCTGATTGGGTGACAATGTGCTGTCCCGGGCACCAGTTGGCCTCATGTCCTAGCTCCCCAGGATCATCAGTGATTCCTGTGTTTAGTGAAAGAAAAAAGTCTGAGTGTCTTGGTCCTGCAAGAAAAGAAAAAAAAAAAAGTCATCTCCCCGTTACAGTCTTATGGACAGTCTTATTCATCATTGCTACAATTCTTTTCTTTAGCTTAAACTTTAAAAGTCATTCTTAGCCAAACCGGTTTGGCTCAGCGGTAGAGCGTCGGTCTGTGGACTGAAAGGTCCCAGGTTCGATTCCGGTCAAGGGCATGTACCTTGGTTGCGGGCACATCCCCGATAGGGGGTGTGCAAGAGGCAGCTGGTCGATGTTTCTCTCTCATCGACGTTTCTAGCTCTCTGTCCCTCTCTCCTCCTCTCTGTAAAAAATCAATAAAATATATTTAAAAAAAAAAAGTCATTCTTACTGAATCAAGCCAAATAATACAGAGCAGGCACTGTCTCTTTTGCATAATACTTAGATGAGATCATTATATACACAACGCACAGATGCCTGAGGAGGCCCCTGCTCAAAAGAACAACCGAATGAGCCTGTGAATCCTGAGATGTCGGCCTGTGGGCCCCGCCTCGGGAGCAGCTTCCGGGAGCCCTGCTGCTGGGGGCCTGGGCTCCCCATCTCCTGCCACCTGCGTGCTGGCGTCGGGTGGCGGATGTCCGAGCAAAGCCTCCGTGGTTTGGAAAGAAACCCCTAACAGCACCAGGCTGCCTTCCACTTTCCCATAATGCACACAGACCCAGGCATCCCACTAGTGGTCGGCAAACTCAGTCAACAGAGCCAAATATCAACAGGACAACCATTGACATTTCTTTTGAGAGCCACATTTTTAAAACTTAAACTTCTTCTAATGCCACTTCTTCAAAATAGACTCGCCCAGGCCGTGGTGTTTTGTGGAAGAGCCACACTCAAGCGGCCGAAGAGCCACACTCAAGCGGCCAAAGAGCCACATGTGGCTGGAGAGCCACCATTTTGCTGACCATGGTTCTAGGAGTCGCGGACACAGCACACGGAACTCCTAGAGCTTGCCCAGCCTGATTTCAGTTACCCTGGTCACGAAGAGAACACCCTCCATTGGACAACGGTGTGGTAGTGACCGTGCCCGCCCTCGTGACACAAAAAGAGCTTTTGTCACCTACCAGGCTGGTGCTGGGAAACTTTTCCATGAGATCTCACTTAACATCATCATCAGCGTACATTCCTGGAGCTGACGCCAGCAAGGGTTTCTTTCGGTCCTTGTGAAAATCCACAGTGCCCCACGGGTCTCCCAGGAACCGCTCCTCGTGACTGACTCCTGGTGTCCTGAGGCTGCTCAGTTGTTGACTTGAGAAGTCATAGGATGGCAGCAAAGAAAGAAAAGGAGGACTCATTCCTTGGAGGGAGGAGCATGGAGATGGGGAAGGGGCTACAAAAAGAGAAAACTTGGAGCCAAGGACAATACACTCCTAATTTGGGCTAATCGTTACAGTTTAGTTATATTCTGCCTGGGGCCTGGGAGGGGGCCGCTCGGTGCTAGTGAGTCTGCCCGCAGCTTGTCTGGGCTGGCTCTGAATCCCCAGAGATCCGGAAGGACCTAAGAGTCCCATCCCCATCTGTAGCCTGGTGCAATGCTACTGGAAGGACCTACCGCCCCCACCTGCGACGTGCTACCACCAGCCTCTGTACAAAGGACTTTGATTTGGTGTGGATCTGATTAAATGACTGTGGATGTCCTTGGAAGCACTGTGTGGAAGAATTTTAAACAGCTTCTCCTTTTTAATATGCACTTCCTCTTCGGTTTTAATTATTTTGTTCCTACATTTTCTCTTTCAATTTACTAAAATCTAGAAATGTAATTAGAGCAGAGGCTGGGCTCAGAGAAAGCTGCCAGGATTTCTACAGCATGATTAAATATACTAGGCATCCCTTTAGTGTGGGACTGAAAAAATAGGATTCTCATTATTATCTTTCCTTATCCAGGGAAAATCGGCACCACATTCAGATACGGATTTATTGAAAATGCAGCATTAATTAAAAACTCACCCAGCCTCTTGACGAGGTCTGTGGGGTGGGGGAGGGGGAGGGGTGTTGAGGGGGGAAAGTGCAGGTATTTAATTATTTCTTGCATTTACTGTTCTGTTGTTGCAACCATGACAAGCAAGAAGCCCCTAAGCCCCCACCCCACCGCTAGAAACTCTGTCCTCAGAATAAGATTCTTCTCTCCTGAGGAGGGACTTAATGAGGCTTTTATCTATGCAACAACAATCAAGCTTACAATGGCACCGATTCAATGCACTGCTCCTTGTGATGGTAGGAAACACGCAGAACTCGTTTTCTTAATTCCAAAACACAAAAGACAAAGTGTTCATGGGCTATCAGGAGCCAGGTCTGGGCAAGGACTGTGTCCCAAATGACCCCGAGAAATCTGATATTTATTCTGCCAACCAGAACCTTAGTTGGGCTCCATTTTACAGTCCAGTAAGCAAAAGCGTGCTGGAGGCACAGGGGAGGTGGAGACAGGGTGAAACAGGTGAGTACAAACTCCCATTTTGGTTGTAAGTGCTGCTGGAAAATGAAGTCCTCTCCTCTCTGTACTTATTCAGTTGACTGGTCACTGAACGCCCAGCCCAGTGGCCTGCCATGGCGGAGCTCCGAGTGGACATTAGAGATGGATATACAGGAAGATCGTTAGCAGAGGCACGGTCCTGTGCTCTGGGGGTCTCCAGTCTAAAGAAACAAAGACAGGTGACAAAGCCTGGGACCCAGGTGTAAGACCACACACCAAGAAACATGAACACATTGAGGAGGCTGTTCTGGGACCACCATGGGGTTAATAGAGATTAGCAATGGAAAAATATTGATTGATTGATTGATTGATTGATTGATTGATTAAATTTCATAGTGAGGCAGGCGTGGCTTCATGAATGAGATCTGGCCTCCTTATCTGGAGACATAAGTTCAAACCCAGCATTGGCACTTACTATAATATAAACTTGGACAAATGTCTCTGAGCCTCCGTTTTTCCATCAAAACAATGGAGAAAACAATGCCCAACATATATTGTTGTGAAGATTAACTGAGATACTATTTGAACATAGCACAGTCCCTGGTAAAAAGTAGATCCCACTTATTTATACTGAATGTGGTGGGGGTTTTTTAGGGTAAGTTTTCATAAAGTACCTTCTGGTCTTCAAGCCCCCCTTTAATCTGTGCATCATACTCATTCCTTTTCTCTGTTCGAAACATGAAATCAAAGAAACAACCTGGACTACTCAGCCAGAACACTGCCACTTGCTAGCCGGCTTCCTGAACAAGCTCCTTGACTGAGGAGTCTGTTTCCTCACAGATCAGTCAGGGTTTCTGGTGTAAGAATCGCACCAACTCTGGCTGTACCAACCCAAACCGGAATTTACCGAACAAATATTTCCAGCATCCAGAATTGACAGGAGCTGAAGAATCAGACTTGGAAATTCGGCTGAAAACCAAAGTCTAGTAGAGGAAGAACAATCCTTAGCAGGACATTCTGGCCAGGAATTTCAACTGCTGGGCACTGTCCCAAAGTGTCGCCACCAGGCTCTTGGCCACAACTTCTGCCACTAGAAAGGATGTCTAATTTTCCTGCCATCTTTGTGCCCCATGTTACAAACCCAGAACCCTGTTGGCCAAGACCTGATTACCACATTGGGCAACAAAGAAAGGTCTCACTGCCCCAGTGGCCACGGAGTAATATCCAGTACTCCTTTTTAAGGACCCTAAGTACAACAGCAGATTCATCCCACACAGGAAGTGGGTCAGATGTTGGACTGCCAATCCTCCCATCCTCATCTGTGAAATGGGACATTCATTACAGGGTCATTCGCAGCATGGAACAGCACGACCTTTGTCCAAGAGTGCTTGGCATATAAAAGGCATTCTGTTACTTTACTTCCCTCTTTAATAAAACAAAAGGCTTGGAATGGTGTAGTTATCTGAGGATTTGATCGGTGTGCTTAGAGATAATGACATTCTGAGTTTTCAACCTGGAAAGATGGCTAGGAAACAGAATACTGAAGAGTGGAGTACTTTGCATAGAAACAGCAGTGGGAAAGAGCAAAAAGAAAATGGTAAGCTTGAGTTCAGCTTTTCTTTGATTTTTGGTCTTCGACTGACAACACAGCTCCATCTCTGTCTCATTCATCTTTAAAACAGGTCTAAAAATTGCCTGAAGTCATTGCTTCAAAATAAATCTTTAGTGAATTAATATGTTTTCAACAAAAAATATATTACCAAAAATATAGATTATATTCACTGTTATGAATTCTTTTCCGTGGGTTTTTTGGTCCTGTTCTGAGTGGGTTTGGTCCACCACCTGTTGGCATTTGCCCTAAAATAACCTTTACCTAAATGTAGAGAATTAGTTTAGCACAAACACATTTTTTTTTTTCCTCTGACTCAACTCAAATAGAAATTACTTTACATTTTACAGTTTGGATTATCTTTGCCATGGCTCTACTATATCAAAATGAATTGATTTCAATTGAAAGTTTACTCTACGTTAGAATCCTATTTTAAAAAGGAAATTTAATCTAAAATTCAATTATAGAAGGTCGGTGCCAAAGTGAACAGTCAACTAGCACTTACTGAATGCTCCCTGGATAGAGCTCCACCTATGTAACTACAGAAGTCAAAAGAAATAGAAATATTATCCCTATTCACAGAGAGTTTTCAGTTTCAAATAAAAAATAAAATTCAAAACTGGAAGGAACCATAAAGATTCCCCATCCCAATGGTGTTCAAATGATTCTTGCTTCTCAAGCTCTGGGCTACTGTAGATTTGTCCCAGAGTCTCCAAGGGGAGTCAAAGGGGGCTGGGGCAGATCAAGCCAAGCCAGTCTGGTTCTCTTTACACTCATTCAGGCCAGAAATTAAGCATCATCCTTGCCCCCTCTTTCCTGATACCTCATATCTAATCCATTAGGTGTTCCCATATATTCTAGTTTTAAATCCACCCACTTTCTCCATCTCCCTAGTCCTTTCCAACAACTAGCCATAATCCTTTTTCACCTGAACCACAATGAGAGGGTCCTAATTAGTCTTCCTAATTCTTTGTTTAACCCTCAATCCCTTCTTCACTCAGCATCCAGGCCAACCTAACTAAAACTTAAGTCACACCTTTGAATGTCTTCTCATTGTAACAAGAATAAAATCCAAACTTTGTACCACTGTCCACAAGATTCTCATATTCAACCACATCTTGTGTCACTTTCTTCATCTTCACTTTTCTAGAACTGCTAGAGCCCATCAAGTTCTTTCCCTCCATAGGCCTTCGTATTCACTGTTCCTTATTCCCGAAACACTCTCCCTAGCTCTTCACATGGCTGGTTCTGCCTTTGCTCTCAGATCTCAGTTTAATTTTCACATCTGCAGAGAGCCTTCTCTGACCATCCATCCAATCCAAGATAAGGACCTTCTGTTGTTTTCTATCAAGGTACGCTGTTTACTTCCTTTACAAAACTAACAACATTTTGTAATTGTTTTGAGTATTTACTTGTTTATTATTGGTCTCCCTTACTCATTTGTCAGCCTCCTAAGGACCTTGTCTATTTTGTTCTCCATAATGTCCCAGCATTCAGCACGGTGCTAATACAAGGACAGAGGTGCTTACTAGTAGTAAAGATGAATGAGTGAATGAATGAACACATGAATGAATGTCCTGGTCTTATCTGGAATGTTAGAAAAGGCTTGAGCACAGGTATGAACCCTGAGGGAAGGTTAATAGACAGAGGGTATAGAGAAGGGGAATGAGGAAAGAAAGCAGTCCAGAGAGATAAAGATTCTAAGGTCAGAGAGCAAGGTTTAAAAACAAAACAAAAAAAACTCAAGGAATATTAATGTGGTTGGAATAGAGAACAAGTGGGAAGCTGTAGGAAGTGAGTTAGGAGGGTCAGGCAGAACCAGCCAGCTTCTCTGCCCCAGGATCCAAACCACAGGATTGGGAATGTGGGAGGAGTGAATTCCCCAAAGGAAGGTCAGAGCGCTCTTGGCAGAAAAAGCGGGAAATGAGTGCTGGAGGCCAGCAACAGAAGACCATTGCCCCTGGTTTTTCCTCCTGCCTCTTTGGCTGCTTCCATTGGCCATCCTTTGCATATCGGCTTTCCTTGGACTCCGTTCATTTCCTCTCCTCTTCACACTGTCCTCACTTGCCTCGAGATCGCTCATTCACTCTCACAGCTCCACTGCCATCCATCTGCTGAAGAACATTCCAAATCTATCTTGAGCCAGGTCTTTCTCTAGAGCTCTAGATTTACACACCCCACTACCAACCTGACATCTTCAGTCGGATATCCCATAGACACGAAGAGTCAGCAGATCTAAAACTGGTTTCTCCTCCATTGCTCTCTGTCTCACCCAGTAGCTCCAGCCTGGGAACTGGGAATTATTCCTGACTTCTCAAGCCCACTTTTAATTCAACACCAAGTTCAGACAATCCTATACTTTAGCTATCTCCCAGTCCTGTCTACTTCCATCTTCCTGACAGGTCTTCACAGAAGCCTCCTCACCTGCCTTCCCACTTCTAGCTCATTCTCTGCTCTGCAGCTAAAATGCCAATCTGGCTGAGTCACTTCTTTGCATACAACCCTTCACTGGTTCCCACTGCCCTCCAGATGAAGTCCACACTCCTTGACAGGAGTGAAAGGCTTTACCAGTGACCATGCCTTTGTCTCTAGGGGCTCTCTTATTCTCCCAATGCCACTTAGCAATATGGTTTCCAGTCAGTCCTCACTGGTTTAGCTCAGTGGATAGAACGATGGCCTGCGAACTGAAGGTTCCCAGGTTCGATTCCGGTCAAAGGCATGTATCTTGGTTGCAGGCACATCCCCAGTAGGGGATGTGCTGGAGGCAGCTGATCGATGTTTCTCTCTCATTCATGTTTCTCTATCCCTCTCCCTTCCTCTGTAAAAAAAAATCAATAAAATATGTATTTTTAAAAATATGGTTTCCAGTCACACACAGAGCTACTTTCAATTCTTCAAGTAAACCAAGTTCTCCCTTTCTGCACATGCTGTTACTTCTTCCCCGAACAGTCATCTCCATACCTTCCCCTGCCCCCACCTCCCCCAGGTTAATTCTCTGCTGATTCTCCAGGCTTTCGTGTATCCATCTGTTCCTCCAGGAAGCTGTGCACATCCCCTAACTCTGAGCTATGTCTCCCCAAATTCCCCTCCCATGGCAATACCTCCTGATTTTGGTTGCCTGATACCCTCTCTGTGTCCTTCACTAGACAGTGAGTTCCTCGGAGACAGGAATTCCTTTTTCTGTTTGTCTGTGGTATTTCCAGCACCAAGCAGCATTCCTGGCACATAATAAATATTCAGAGAAATGCTTGTGCGATGAATAAATGGATGAATGAGTAAAATAAACATTCCTTTCAGGAACTTGGTTGCTGTAGTTTCAGGCACAGAAACCTCCAGCGGCTTCCTCTTCCTGCATCCCCTGTTTGGCCACAGGCTGGTCGGCAGCCTGGTCAGCAGCCTGAGAACGCCGAGCACTGGCTCACGAGGCTCCTTGCCTCACACCCAGTGCTGGGAGCCCAGTCTTCCCTTAAAAGGCCACCTTATTAAAAAGCGCCTGTGATGGCATTTATGAGCTCTATTTTTGTCTCTGTTGGAAAAGTTTCAAAGTGAATTCCCAAGCCAAAGACGTTAAACTCAGGAACGTGGACGAGCGAGGAAGCATCTACGCGAAGCCTCTGAGTCACAGCTTTGTTTTCCATGGCAAGGGCCTCCACTCCTTCCCATCAGGGGGCCCTTGTTTTTAAGGATGGGCTGACTGTAAAAAGGCTATTGATGCCACGTTCTTGAACACCAGGTCCTGCAGCCTTAATGGCCTATGAAATGGTGTCGTCTCCCCTAAGATTCTCTTAACTATGCTGGGGCCCTCAGAGCAGAACACAGAACAAATCGCCAAACATCCCCCAGTTTAGTCAAACCAGCTTCCCACCCCTTCCCCAAATGGATCCGAATCCTGGGTGTTAGCATGGCTAGCAGCAGGAAGAAAGGAGGCAGAGTAGCCAGAGGAGAGGGCTCCCAATGAGCCTGGCTAAAGAAATAATTGGACAGAAGCTACAGAAATGAGGAAAGCAACCCAGCAGGGCTGGCGAACAAGTGGAGGGCTGTGCCAGGGAAAGAATTCACCATCAGAGTTGGAGGGGATGAGGGAGGGGAGAGAAATCGTGGAGAAACAGAAAATGTCAGTGAAGGTTAGAAGGAAGGAAGGGGAGGCAGGAGGGAAGCAGGAAGCAGCAGTGCAGATGGAAGGAATCAGGTAGTCTGCGGAGAAAGCAGAGGAGAGAGGGAGCATGAATTCCCTTTAATCCGAGTGGAGTCATTTGGGGAAAGAGGAGGTTGGAGAGTCAGGTGGAGGCCCCAGAGAGATAGTCATCTCCTCCCCCCACAGCAGATCAGAAATGAGAGCCAGGGACTAGATCAAAGGATGTCCTCTCTCCCAGATTCAAGGTACTGAATTTGCTACCACCCTGCCTCTGGGAATTCAGGAAAGATAGATTTCATTCAAGGGTACTGGATTCAAGCCACTGTTTGTTTTTTTGTGTGTGTTTGTTCTTGTTTTTGTTAAACACACTGGAGGACATTCTTTCCATTGATTTTAGAGTGGAAGGAAGCAGGGAGGGAGAGAAGAGAGAGAGAGAGAGACATTGATGTGGGAGAGACTCATTGATGTGAGAGAGGCACATCAATCAGTTGCCTCCCACAAGTAGCCCCAACCGGGGCAGGGCATCTGCAATCCAGGTATGTACCCTTGACCAGAAATGAACCCAGGACCCTTCGGTTCTCAGGCTGATGCGCCAATGGAGCTACATCAGCCAGGGGCTCAAACTACTATGAGTCTCAAACAATTCTGGGTCCATGCCCCATTTCTCTCTGTGACCCCCCTCCCCCCATTTTCCCAGCAGCACATACAGCCCAGGGTCACAGCCCCCTATGTGCCACTGCCCCTTCCTGCTACTCTGGGACAGGGACCAGGCTTAGAGCTCGGAGTCTGGGCTGAGTCAGCGGTGCCCATAGGAGACTGCTTCCTGGAAAGTCTTGCTTCAAAGCTTCTGGCTGGCCAAGTGCTGGTGGGAAGCAAGAGGCACGCTGAAGGCTGGAGGCGGTGTTAGCTTTCAAGATACCTCTCACCAGAGAGAGCATCATGGGATAGAAATTTCCATAGTCTAGCTTAATGAGTGCTTCCAGTGTACTTCAAGCTGGCCAATACCCTCCATCCTCTCCGATTCAGAAAATTGTATTTTCCAGGCCTCACGTGAGAGTTCAGAGCCAAGATGCAGGCTCTGATTCCTAAACGACCTAGTTACTTCTGAAAATTAGACCAAGTATACTTTCTAAATCTCAGGTGTCTATTTCCCAAAGATAAGTCCATATTCATTGGGGTAGCAAGAATACATACAGGATGCTCTGTGTGTGCTCAAGGCAGCATCCTCTCTTCACACACACACACACACACACACACACACACACAGCCAACCCTGGCCAGTGTGGCTCGGTGTTTAGATCAGCACTGTAGGGTCTAGGGTTCAATTAATTCCCAATCAGGACACATACCTAGGTTAAGGGTTCAATCCTGGGTGGGGGTCAGGATACCTGCATGAGGCAATAGATTGATTTTTCTCTCTCTCTTCCTGGAATCAATGTTAAAAAAAAAAAAAAAAAAAAAAAAAAAAAAAAAAAAGTCCTTGAGTGAGGAATCAAAGAACAAACAAAAAATGGACAGCATACTATTACCAACCATCAGCAGGCTGCTCCAGGGGCCAAGCCCCTGCTCTGTCTCTGCGCTGTGATGGGCCGTCTAAGCCATCCCAGCTTCCCTTTAATCTGGGAGTTTTGATCCCCACTGCAGGGTGAAGGGTCATTTCGACAATCTCACTTTGGACAAGTGAGAAGAGAAAGCATTTTACTTTGATCCCCACAACTGCTTGCTATGCAGTGGGCACTCCAGCGGGTAGGCAGTGGGTGGCAACAGCTGCCAGACACCTTCCCCCAAGGATGTCTCAGTTGGTGCCAAAAGCCCATATAAGCTCTTTCTGATCTCTGTGCCAGTGACTGCAGGCTCTGGACAGAAGCCAGGAGGCCACCAGAGCCTGCATTCTTCTCCCCCTCGCCCGCCAAGAATGGGGAGGGATGGCTTGGGAGCCCGTCAGGAAAGGAGCTAGTGGCTCTGAGACACATGCTTCAGCTGTCACACCTGCTCACATGGGGACTCACACAGGCACACACGCACACTCAAATAGTTCCGAGTTTTCTTGTTCCATGTGCCCCACACCCAAAGCAGTTGTAATAAAAACTCCCATCAATGAAACTGTTGTTCCCAGTTTGTCTCCTTCCTTCCTCCCTTCTTTCAGCCCCTCCCCCGACATGAATTGATGTGTGACTGGCACCTACCATGTGCCAGCCATTGTGTTGGGAGGGAAAGACACAGTCTCAGGGAAGAAAGTATTTATGAGTACTAATCAGATGCAAGACAAAATAGAGTGTTACATGATGGTGGCCACAGGCCAAATCTGACCTGCAGGCATGTTTAGTGTAGCTGACAAGGAATTTTTTAAAATTGGAAAAGTTCACATTGAAACAAGTATTTCCATTTTCTTTTGAAATAACAAATCTGGGCCTGGCCAGAGTGGCTCAGTGGTTGAGCATCGACCTATGAACCAAGAGGTCATGGTCAGGGTATATGCCCTGGTTGTGAGCTCGATGCCCCGTGTAGGGCATGCAGGAGGCAGCCAATCAATGATTCTCTTTCATTATTGATGTTTTTCTCTCTCTCTCCCTATCCCTTCTTCTCTGAAGTCAATAAAAATATATTTTCAAAAACACAAAACAAGTCTAACAACAACTAGATGGACGTGAACGTGTCATATATATATAAAATTGATTTTTACAGAGAGGAAGAGAGAGGGATAGAGAGTTAGAAATATTGATGAGAGAGAATCATCGATCAGCTGCCTCCTGCACCCCTCCCCCACACACACTGAGGATGTGCCCACAACCAAGGTATATGCCCTGACTGGAATCGAACCTGGGACCTTTCAGTCCTCAGGCTGACGCTCTATCCACTGAGCCAAACAGGTTTCAGGAAAAGTATCCTCTTTAAAAAAATATATTTTATTGATATTTCACAGAGAGGAGGAAGGGAGAGAGATAGAGAGCTAGAAACGTCGATGAGAGAGAAACATCGACCAGCTGCCTCTTGCACACCCCCTACCGGGGATGTGCCCGCAACCAAGGTACATGCCCTTGACTGGAATCGAACCTGAGACCTTTCAGTCCTCAGGCTGACACTCTACCACTGAGCCAAACCGGCTTCGGCAAAAGTATCCCCTTTAGATGGGAAAGGTATTCTCAGTTTGCCACAGCCTACATACCCCCATCTCCCACCCACACTCTTCACCATTAATTCAACTGCTCTTCATCCATTCATGCTCCCTGCAATGATTGTGCAGGTGTGAGAACACATGGCCCTAAAAATGAAAAGGCATCAAAGGGTCCAGAGTAGAGAAACATTATCTCTGCTTCAGGAAGTCAGATGAGTTAACCCTTGAACTAGGTCCAAATACTCCATTGATTTAAATAGTTGTTGTTTCCCCCGCCCCTTGTGAGAGGCACAAGGGAAGGCCATCTTCACAGTATCCCCAGCAGTTGGTCTCAATGCAGACTTGTGAGATGTGCTGAATGAATGGAGTCACGAGAAGCACCAGGTGGAAAAGGCAATTCCAAGCAGAGAGAACTGCGGGCACAAAGGCATGATAGTAAATAGTGCGCAGGGAAACGGCAAATAGTGCCTGTGAATGGAGGTGCCGGAAGTGCGAGGTGAGTGGGATCACGAAGGGTAGAAGCAGCAGCAGCTGAGCAGAGAAAATAAACACCAGTGGGTTCCTGAAGCTCTTTGGGTGCCGCGGTAAGAAAGTACCCGGGAAACCTGGAAAGTGACTTAAGGAGTGAAGTGACAGGATCCGATGCTTGGTTCACAGAGAGAACTCTGGCAGAGTGGTGGGTGGAGAGAAGTGAGCTCCAGAGAAAGACAGAGGCTGCAAATAGAATTCAAGTCGAAGCTCCCCATTACCTTTCTAAGGCCCCTGCGCTACACGGGGATCTACTTTAAGAAAACGGTGCCCCCTGCTGACTAAGTCTGGGCTTGCACCTCTGGGGACCAAAAGGGAAATGATGCTTGGCCTGAAAAACAGCATCTGGAAGCCCTGCGCACACAATTCTGAGTCGTGGTGTGTCCAGAGGGCCGCCTGCTCCTAGGAAAAGTGGCCCGTGAGGATGTATGTGACAATGGCTAACGCCACAAACAGTCTTGCCAGATAAATACAGAATGCTGCCTAAATTTGAATTTTCAGATAACACAAAAACGTTTGGTATGTCTCAAATAATACACAACAATTTATAGTATAAGTTTGTCTAACAAACTGTGTTTATCTAAAATTTAAATTTAGCTGGGTATCCTTTATTTTTCTTTACTAACGCTGACAATCCTAGATAAAATGTGTATAGGAGCTGGGAGACAAGCAGAAATAAAATTGGATGCATTCCTCTCTTTGGGTATCTCTGCAACCTCAACCCCCTCCCTCCATATAAGCAGTACAGGAGATGATGCTTTCTTACTACTGGTAGTATATTTTGCAGTGGTGCGTGATCCACCTCTATTTGGGAAATAACTTGTAATGAAATGAGTCCCATTAGTACAGGACCCTGTATATTTGAGAATTTGAAGAGCGCCATGGATTCTTTTTTTTAGAGAAATGAACCTGTTAGCTCGACACATGTGTGAGCGCTTGTGCCACTGCTCATACACACATGCTTTTATATGAAATCTCAGGGAGCTCCCAGCCCTCATGTAAGAGGGATGCACTCCTTCTAGGGATGTGGTATGAATGGGGCACTTCCGGATCCGGAGGAGGAAATGGTGCTCTTCGGGACCTAAGCTGAAACACGGAGCTTCTAAAGCTCAGGTCACTCACATGCCATGATGAAACACAGAAGGAAGAGTCCATTTCGGTCCTTGGTAAATGCCTGGAACCTCCTCCCTCCCCCAGCACTAACAGGGCAGGCGTATGGGGACAGAAGGCCCACCAGCCCACATGGACTTGCGCCTCAGCCAGGTGGAAGCACTGAATGAAATCACCTGTCATTCCAAGACTCTCTTGGTTTCCCTTCCCATCCTCCTTGCCATGGCAGGCATAGCCCACTGGTTCCCAGTGTGAGAGCCGTGCCTGTCAGAAATTGGCTTTCACTAGTGGGTGAAACCTTCCAGACTAAGTTCTGGATACTCTCAGCTGGGTGAGCAAAACCATGGCCTGAACATTCGGCAGGGGGTGGGGGTGGGTGTGTGTAGACTTTGGAGCAGAGGATCTGAGTCTCCCTCTCACTGCCCTACCCTGGAAGCCCCGTGGCCCCCACAGCCTGCTCCTGGCCCTATAGAGGGAAGGCAGGAGTGGGCTAGGTCAGGGGGTGCTGTTTGCACTCTCGGTGTGTGCTAAATGATGCAAAAACTCTTTGCAGGTTGCTTCCATCTTTGTCAGCATGCTTATGGAACA